GGTCTAATTGCATTTTTGGTTCTTCCTATTTTGTCTCATATTCAAAAACCCCCTTTTTATAGCTAATTATACCCCAAATTCAACCCAATTAAACCCAACAACTTAATTTATAAGATCCACTTATCTCTCGAGTAAACCCAAAATTATTAACAAGTAATTTGGGGTGTTACAAGGTTCTTTGGTCCAATGCCACTAATACTTTAAGTGATTTGGACCCCGCAAAGACCCTGCTTTTTATTATATTTAAATATGTTAGAGATTGTTAAATTATACTAAATATTTTTTGTTAGTCAGTAAATTTAATGATATCTAGTATACTTTACCATTATATATATTACCACAATTTACAAAGTCCTTTTATTTTGGGAGTTAGGGGTGGATCACCAGCATTCACCTAATTGCATTTATGTGCTTCTATCGAATGAAGACAAGATTTCTTAAAAGGTTAAAAGGGAACAAAATATTGAATATCTTGAGAGCCTGCCATAGGGTAAAATGAAGATCAAGATCAAGATGGAGATCGGATTTGGATTTATCCGAATAGGTTTCGGGTTTCTCCGATAAGTTAAACGTTTTCCTGGTGGGGAGTCACCGCAGGTCCTGATGCTACCGCAAAATGCACGCCCCTACGTTGCCCAGATTGTACTACAAAAGCAATCTGGGTGGCAGCCAATGCCGCTGCTTCCTTATACAGATAATGAACACGTTTCGATAAGAGGTCCGGAGAAAAGCAAGAAGGATCTGTAAAATGAAAAAAAGGAAAGTTTTTGTTAAGTCATGAAATAATAACCTGTCTTTGCCTTCGTTGTTGTAATATACTGATGGCCCATGCCATGATGTAACACGGCAAGAGAAGCCCAGCGGCTCGGAGTAAGAAAAACTGCAAGAAACCAAACAGTTTTAAGATCCATGCCTCCACGGTATTGTAATTTGTAATTGTAATGCATAATGTTTAAGAAGCGCATAGGTGAAATACAGGAATGCAACTATACAAGCAAAAAGTAAAGACTTTCAGAGAAAAATGAAGACACATCGTCATCTGAATCGGCATCTGGAACAGTTACTGTGTGCCGCAACAGTAGAAGTGGCATTAACTGAAACAATGGGGGAAAATCAACCATCTTAAAAAAACGAGAGCAAAACTATCCTATCTCCTAAGAACATAAAGATCTTCCAGTTAAAAAGTTCGTACACCTTAGCAGGGTTCTTTTCTCCATATTAATTTATCGAAACGATTCCTTGAACATGACTATATGTATTTATAAATTGAATTGATGATGGTCCAACTTTACGGCAAAAATGTTAAACTCACTACATTTCCCCCCTCTATCCTTCAAATTCGGAATGATTCATTAAGCATTAGGAGGAAAATAACAATCTTGACTACAAAAGACACTCCAAAATTCATTTCCTTTCCTTCTTTCACTCCACCGAGCTCATCGTAAAAGCAAATGATTCGCCTTCTTAGAGAATTAGTATCAACTACTTACTCAAAATCCTGAACTTTGAATTCTTTAAAGAAACTAAAGGCCTAAACGTTGAGTTCAAAATATTTAAACAACATAAAATGATATCCAGTAGTAAGTATATCTCCTTTTTGAAGGATTAACAGAAGTAGATATCTGATGACATATCTCGCAAGTTATATCTCCCTTTTCGTTGCACCAATGCTGCACGCACTTCCTATGAGCATACTGCAATTCAGAACATATCAAACTCAACAATTTCCATCATAGGAATATTTCATCTTGATCAAGGTTGAGAAGCGAATCTCAAGGTGTGTATGCTTCTGTTCTGCTAGTCTGAAAGGTGTGAATTCGGTATGGATATGAGATTTGGTTCGGCCTAGAGGGATAAGGTTGGATGCATAAATTACTATGGTTTCCCTTGCACATTCGTAAGCACTCCATTATTGGGTGGATGGCCAATTTGGGAAGGCTTCCCACAAAGGATAGACTTTTGAATATGGGGATTGTGTTGGAGGGAGGATGTTTTTTTGTGACGGATTGGAAATCAGAGACTATTTGTTCTTTGAATGCTGGTTTCCTCGGAAAATCTGGAAAGGTGTTTTATTGCTTTGCTGCCTTCCAAGGGATGCGAGGAGTTGAACTGGACCATGCTATTCCTTAAGGGTAAATCTCTTCTCTCTTTAATGGTTAGGATTGTTAGGAATGCATTAATCTATTATGTTGGGAAGAAAGAAATGGTAGACAGTTTAAGAAAATTGCTAAATATTGGCAGACTATGCTTGATAATATTTGTGAGTTAATGAGAGTCATACTTGTTCATAGGAAGATTGATAAAGAGGATGATGTAAATAGGAAGCTTTGTGATAGTGGGGGGTTAGTTTAAAAGGGTGTTCTGGTTTTGTGGTGCGGGCACCTTGTTGATTGTAGCAGGTTGCTGTTTTTTCTTTGGATAATGTACACAACAACTTATCCAAAAAAAGAAAATAAAAGAAATGAATTACATTGAGGCTGTCATTGCAGGCACAAGGAGTCTCAAGATTGTTAATGGAATCCTCCTCCTGACAAATGCGGCACTCCGCGCCTGAATAAGCGGGTCCTCCTCGTTGCCTTCTTGAGCAACCTCCTTATCTTTCTCCTCTTCCTTCTCCTCCGCCGAAATCTCAGTCGAGGGACCAGCCTCCAATCCAACCGGATGCACGTGCACGGGCCTCACCAGAAGATCCACATACAACACCAGGTGATCACTCATAATTTCTACAAATTTAACATATATATAGTTTCAATTTCTTTCAGTCAATTCAACGATTCAATAAAAAATAAACCATCAACACGATAAGCGAAAGCATGATGTAAAAATGAGACCCGGGATCGCACTGAGCAAGAGTGACGGATCGGAGGTTTCCGAACAAATGAGAGGATGAAAAATAAATAAATAAAGGTATCTGATAAGAGACTAAGAGAGCAACAAAAAAACTGAACCAAATCATAAAAAAATTACCTTTTAGCTAAAAAGATGGGAATTGCTGCTTGCTAAATGAACCAACAACAACACGACGGACAACAATTGTTATTTAAACTTCTTTTTTTACTACAAACGCGAACTTTTTCGATGATAGCAGACTTTGTTGGATTCTTTTAAAAACGACGAGTTTTGTGAGATATTCGACGACGATAATGAGACATGTGCTGACGTCTGTCGGAAACGGCTCCCATGGTGATTTGAAATTCACACGCTTGACTTTGGCTTAACTGCATCATTCCCTCCTAAATTAGATTGTTTCTATCAATTTATCCCTTAGAGTATTTTTTTTGAGATGTTTTGCCTCTTAAAATTTAAATCTTTATCAAACCATTAACTTTGTTAAAAAAATATAAGGATAAATTACATATTTAATCATTCAACTATCCATGTCGTTCTATTTTAGTCACTAAACTATTTTTTTAGTCATTACTAAATTTAAAGATATTGTACACTCTTTCTCCTCTGATAATCATCCAATGAGATTAACAATGAAGCATATTCTTCGTTTTCTCGAAATAATACTTCTCGCAATTCGATTTTTTGAACAAACATCTTCAAACCCTCAAATACAAGAAAACCCACAAAGTTTAAAAAAAAGAACTATGAGACGAGTTCATTGGTATCTAAAGTGATCACAAAAGAAAACAACGTGCGACAATTTTCAACAAAAATTAAAGGGTAAAATATATAAATAGTCTCGAACTTTTAGAACTCTTGCATTTTGATCAGCCAACTTTTGAACCTTGCAATACAATCATCGAACTTTTAGTTCGTTTTCAGTAAGGTTCATGTTGTTACCTCCCGTTAGTTTTTGTTGACATGATTCTTAACTCCCGTCAACACCCTCCTCCTCCTCCTCCTCCTCCTCTTCCTCTTCCTCCTCCTCCTCTTCTTCTTCTTCTTCTTCTCAAGTTATCTTAAATATGGTATGTTCTCTTTTGGTTAATTTTATTACCCTTTGGTTTAAAGTTTTGATTTTTAATCTTTGGTAGTTCTAAAGATTGGGGTTTTCCTCTTTCTTGTGTGGGTACTTAGGAGCATGATGAGGTGTTTTCTGTAACTCGAAAAATGAGTTTTTGAGATTTTGATTCATTATATGAATAAGGTTTATGGGATGCTGAGGTTGTTTTACTTTTTTTTATTGTAATTCTAAAGAGAAAAAGGCAGTTTTTCGTCATTTTAATGGCGAAAAAGAAAAGGGATGGTTGGATTTCATGAATAAATTTAGTGTGTGAAATTTGATTCTTGTTTCCTTGCTTGTTTATGATACCAAAATAATATTCTTTTTCTGGTGATTTGTTGTTGAAATTTGTTGAAAATTTGGAATTTTATAGATTTGAGTAAAAATTGAATCTTAATATTCAAAGGCCAAACAATGAATCATAAAGAAAAATGTTTCACTAGTTTCAATTCTCAAAATCAACATATTTTAACCCCTTGAGCATGCCATAATCAAGCCAAACTTAAAAATATATGTTTCATCATGTTAGATTTCATGGGTAGAGAGAAAAAATGAGTCCTGAACGTGTCGACTTTTCATTTTTCTCATCCTATTATTTTCTTTTGTAGGTTATGAAAGAAGAAGAAGAATGAGAAGAGGAGTTAATGGGAGTTAAGTGCCCCATCAACAAAAACTAATGGGAGATAATGAAAGGAACTTTATTGAAAACAAAATAAAAGTTCGATTATTGTATTGCAAGTTTCAAAAATTGGGTGACCAAAATGCAAGCGTCCTAAAAGTTTAGGGACTATGTATATACTTTACCCAAAATTAAAATATAATACTAAAATTGTATCAATTTATAATTCAATGATAGATTTAATATAAAAAAAGCCAAAGTTAAGTGACATTTAATAAATGCAACATAAGTTGTTAACGGTTATGGCCAAAGTACAAATGATCTTAAAGTTCACTGACTTCAATACAAATTTTTAAGTTTAATGATCAAAATGAAAATATCGTAAAAGTTTAGCGACCACAAGTAAATTTATCCTAAATGTATAAGCAATAGAGAAATTCCAATCTCATTCTATAGACCAGGTGCGGCCAAGCTTTTAAAATACAATAAATAAATAATATATATTAAAAAGTAAACATAATCATATCAGACAACTCACTTTGGCTACTGCGCCGTATTCATCACTCACCCTACAACAGGAAACTCCCCCGCAACCCATCCATATACTCTCCTTTCGTATAGCCTAAGGATTTTGGTTCTCAGTTGATACAAATTGGGAATCTACGGTAAATCCTACTTCCCCGCCCATGAAAATGTTACAATTTGGATATGAATCTTACATTTCCCACTGCCATGATGATGCCCTTAAGGTGGGGCAGCAGAAGCCAAGGAAGCATCAAAAGTAATATCCTCCCAAAAATACACTCTCCAGTCTCCTCTGGACAATGATCAGCTTCTACCGATACGAGTCACTATATATCTTCCTTTCTCGAGATCATACACGGTCTTCAGCTGGGGTTTCCTCCATTTCAATATAGACCAAACTGTGAACATCAGTATCACGGAAAAGCCAATAATGGAAAGTAATGTTGAATCAGTGTCGATGATATGAGCTATCCAGCCGGTGTGCTGCACAGCCGAGTTGGCTGTGCTTAGCAATATGAACGCTCCCAAGGCCCAATCTAATGGTATATCATTGACCTGATTAGCAAAGCTGATCCTGTTCAACATTGAATCTCAGTTCAGAGAACGAATACGACTAACTCTCAATTTAATATTTTCATATGGTGGAATGCCACGGTACCCTAAACATCATTGAACTAATGTGGTCCGTTTTATTTTGAGGACACTTAACTAGGAGAGTAGGAAAGATACCTTTCATCATCATCCAAAGCAATTTCAAGGCTATCGTGAAGTAAAGCCACGATATATGCTGAAGAAAAACAGTAGCGCAAAAGATCTTCCTCGTCGAATGATTGGTGTTTCTCCTTCAATTTTGACCAATCCTCTTCACAGAAATGTTGGCCAGCCATAATAAGATCGGAAAGAGTGCCCCTTTGGCGCAACCTAAAGAACTAATCCACCAGGAGAATACAAAGAAAGAAATGTAAGGCATTTCAAACACACAAACTAAGTGCACCCAAGCCTACATTACATGGTTCAGGATGTGCACTAAAATGATCCATGTAAGGTGCAAAAAAATTAGGAGAAAGTGAAAGGGGGAGAGGGATCAAGCAAGCATAAGCCTGTAAGAAAAGGACTGATTATAATTATACCTTTGAGGTATAGAAGAAATTTTCTGTAGCCAAAAAATTGCCTTGAAGCATGGGCATGAAAACTGACCCCAAGTAACAACGATCATAGGAACATTTCTCTGCATGTCACAATATATATAGTGATTATTATCCTGTGGCATAAGGTAACAAAATCAGTGTGGTGGTTCTAAGATAGTTCGAAACCTTTTCCTTTTTGTAAGAGCATTAGTGCAGCAGATCTGCACTCGGAGAAGTTACCCATAGCTTGAAATTCAGAAATATATTTACTTTTTTCAGCCATGGGATCTAACAAAAGTTTTGATGACCCGGGAAAGTATCCTTTAGGTTTACAAGGATCTGTATACATTTCCTTATGAGTAGACTCGGCAGCTGCATTGAGGTAAGAACAATAAAGACATAATAACCAGTAACTCCACACCTCTATTACAATCAACATGAAATGATGAAAAGTCATATCGACCAAAGGGAAATAGGGAATACAAAACAACTGTTAAAATTAAACATTCAACCCCGGCCTAAATACTAAAAAATGTAATATAAAAGCGGTGTCCATACTCAAATTTAGATCTCTTCCTCAAGCTTTAACACTGCAAGACTCGAGATATGATTTAAGAACAACTCAATATGACTTAAATGCTTACTTTGAGTTCAAAGCACAGTTAAAAAAAATCCAAGACTTCTTTAAGCACTCCTAGCCCGTGAATTTTAACAGAAAGCAAATGCCTTGAAACATACCTGGACTGAAATCTCCTTTAATAAGTGATTCCCTCAACAACTCGTGTGCAACATTCTGGAAAAATGACAAAAGTTATAATCTCCTAGTTTAAGTTAGGATTTTTTTTTGACAGAATCTGTAATGATGACATGCAGAAAAAATCAAATGCAAAACCATTTTGAAACAATAGCAATATTGATTAGAAGTTAGATGGACAGCAATTATTATTACTACTATTTTTAAGGCGTGAAGAAAACACTTGGCAGAAGGATAGTGGATCAGTACTATCCGCTTTCATAAATATATATATTCTCAATCTAAGCCGTTTTTGTTGAATAAGATGCCTACATTTGGAACACATGTGCGTAGAAACCATAACCAGCAAAATAAATAAATAAAAGAAGCTAATGCATGCTAAGGCCTAAGGTTACCTGCCCAAAGTGAAGAAAGCTGTGGCTATAGAGACTGTAAGTGAAATTCCCGAACTTGATGGAGCGTGAGAATTCAGAAGGCATCGTCTCACTTGAGAAAAAGGTTACCTGAATATAAGTCAAGCAAATAATTCAATGGCGATCTTAAGCAAAGGACATTTGCAATCAATTGATAAGTACTGCTTCTAGAATATTTTAAATTCTGAAAATGCAGATAATTTTGTTAGTGATGTCACTAATTATAAGCTCGATGACTTGCAAATTATGGGGTGTAAGAATTCAATTCAACTGTCCCCAAAACAATAAAGAGAAGATTTCAACTAAATAATCTTGAATCAAGGACAAACGAACCTGAGCAGATGCCCCACCAAGTTCAATAATTCCAGTTGTACGTAGAGGATTACCTCCAAGAGTACCAAGGACATAGTTTGCAACAACCCAAGCATATACTCCCTCATCAGAACCTAAGTCATAGCATCCAAAACTTAGCTTCAAAATATGGATCAGGGACCAGAAACTATAATACAACCGCAAGAACTGTAAGACTTCCAGCATCGATACTACAAGAGTTGATTTTATTTAAGCCCTGAATATGTAACAAATAACATACGAATATAGACATCATGAAAAAGCGAGGATATTCTAAGAAGTTATCCTTATCCATACCTATCGGTACTACCTCGGCTACATGACTTAAGCCAGAAGAGAAACAGGACAAACAAAACTATCATCCTAGTTTGGGGATCAAATACTCAAGCCGCTGATTCACTTCCATTCAAGACATAATTGATAGATTTTTCCATTGCTCATTTAAAGAGCAATTATACTACTACCTACGTCCAAGCATTTCAATGCATGTTCATGCAACATATCAACTTCCAGTTATACTACCTTTTACTACTTGCTTATTGATGTCCCATTCTGAATACGTCAAAATTTCCCACACAAAGCAAAGCACATTATGTTACCTGTAATAACGGAAGACCAGACGTCGCGGAACTTAAAACCAGACACCCTAAGCACCATCCTGCACTGCTCCATAATCCTATCCTGAAGCTCATCATCCAACAATCTCAGCCCCGCCGTCGCCATTAACCTGATCTCCGTCTCTCCCCACTGGTTTTTCGGGACTTTACTCCTCCCAAACTCCAAAAGCTCTTCCAACGAATCTGCAACTCCTTCCAGATCCTCAGCGTACGCCGACAATCCCGGATTAACCTTCAAGCTCTCCAATCCTTCTTTAAAATCGAAAATCGAGTTTCTGACCTCGTCAACTTTGTACCTAAACACGTGAATTCTCGTCCCCGTGCTTCCACCGTCGATTATGATGCTGTACTTGACGCAATATTTGGGGGAGAAAAATAATATGTAAACAAAAGCAAACAAAGCAAGGGAAATGGCCATTGAAACTGCGATGAAAGAAGGGAATGGCTTGGTTTGACGGGGGTTTCGGGGGAAAAGTGCAGTGGATCGGGATTTGGATAGGATTTGGAGCTTTATTGGATCCATTTTTTGTGGGTCGGTGGTCGATTTCGATTTGGATTCAATCCGGTTTCGGGCATGCGATCGTCGCATCAAAAGACCAAACTTTGGTGGAAGAGCATGTGATTGTTAACCACTGGACAAACTTTGTTTCCTTGCAATTAAAAAAATGAAATTCTAACCGAAATTGAATAAAGAAAAGGTTATAATGGAAAGAAATAAGAAATATCTTAGGGTTCTTTCCCTTTCGAATTGGGATTAACCTGGAGAGGGAGAGACCAGGTTTGTTTGAGTCCTCTCTCTCCTATCTGCATATTTTTTTCTGAAGTTTTTCTGGTTTTGTTTACGAGTTTGTGTTTCAACCTCCAACACCTTTTACGCGGAGGGGAACATCTTCGGTTCGGTCCGAAGAATAGGCCGAACATAGAGTATGTTCAAAATGAACCTAGTCTTGTTTTCAAGGCCCAAAATTTAAAATTTTCATTAAATGTAGAGAAATTACACTAATATAATATCTCCCAAAACCAAAACTCTCTTCTTTTCATTCATTGATTTCTTCCCGAGACTTTTAAAGAGTTCATACCTTTGTTCATCATGTTGTCTTCTTTCCTTTCCTCCAAAGTCTCTCTTTTCGCCCTCAATTCACAAGTATCCATGGCTTCTGAAACAGAAGCACCTGAAGTTTCTTCTTTGTTTGAAAAGTTGTGGAGGCAAAGAGACCTCTATTTCTTTCTACCTTTCATCTTGGGTGTCTCCAACAACGGCAGTGATAATAACAGCGTTTCAAGAGAAAACCGTGAAGACCCTGTTCAAGAAACATCCCAACGTGAAAGAATCGTCCTCGTCAATCCATTTACTCAAGGCATGGTGGTGATCCAAGGGGATTCAAATTTGGAAGCTTTGTTACGTGGTCAGGCTAACAAGGAGCCTGCTTCGAAGGCATACATAGAAGCCATGCCGAGTGTGGGAATCGGTGAAAGTGAAGATGGAGAGTGTGTTGTTTGCTTGGAAGAGTGGAAGGCTGGTGAGGTGGTCAAAGAGAATCCTTGCAAGCACTAGTTCCATGATGGGTGCATAGAGAAGTGGCTTGTAATCCATGGGACATGCCCCGTTTGTAAGTATAAGATGCCCGTTGATGAAGAAGAGATGGGCAGAGGAGGGAGATTTGGGTTAGTTTTTCTTTAAACCATAGTATGAGAAGTGGGGATTCAAATGAAGTCCTTTCAGCTGATTCTAATAGTGTCTCCTCTGCAAGTCCAAGGCCTGATGACAACCATGAAATGGAAGGCTAAAAGTACTGTGTCAGATAACTTTTTTTTTTAACTTTTTGTTGCCTTCAATTCAAATTTCTTTTGAATTTCGTTAATCTTTGTGGGAAATCATGTACATAGAGAGATACTTGTCTTTTCCAAATATATGAATATAAATAAATTGGTACTTCTTTTAGTGCAAACTATTCCTTGCAATTTGATTCTGACTTGAATAATCTTTGTATCTTCCTTCTTGCATAAGAATATTCCAGGAAAATTTATGATTCAAGGTGATTCTGTGAAGAAAACAGCACCCTCAAGAACATGCCAATTAACTATATTTAGTTGAAGTTTGAATTTTGTTGTCGGTAATCAAAAAGAATCCTTCTAACCACTACAAAAAGTGATATTCATACTTCTTTTCTTTTCCATTAGCTTGATTGCTTGAACCACTAATCAAAGGCTTCTTTTCTTGGTGAAAGCCCATGAAGGAAAGTTTAAGCTTTGGAAAGTTCTACACCAACAGAAGAGGAGCTATATCCAATAAGTGTTTCTTGTGCTTTCTTTAAAACTGATTGCAAGTACTTCCCTTAGCTTCAATTCACTGAAACTGGTATATATAACTATAATGTTCTAAAACTCAATATATGAATATAGATACGACAAACAATGAATTCTTTTAGTCCACCATCTTGTTCATCATTGCCAAGTCGGATTCTGTCTGTCGGGTCTTTCCCAGCCTGTATTTCTGCAAGAAAATAGTTAAAGCTTTGTTTTCTTTTTCTTTTTCCAATTAAGCTTAACTGTACTGACATGATTATATGATGAAAGATTGAATTGCCTGTAAATGGCTTTCAAGATGATACAAAGTGAGTCCAGAAATCCCATTGATCCTCATCACACTGTTTGGTGTTGCTTCTGTCAAGAAGAGAACACAAAGGAAAACACGAGTAAACACTATTCTTATAAATCAACAATATGATTAGACAAGATGAATAGATGGCCATGCTATTAAGGTTATTCAGAAGTGTCTTACTAACAGTTTCCTCAGGCAAGCTCATAGTTCATATGCAAAAGAGGGAACAAAAATGACGGACAAGCTCAGGTCAGATGAAATAGTGTCAAGCACGGTAACCCCAACAGTGAATGCGTTATCAGTATGACATAAATCAAACTGCTTGACTATAGTCTTCCTTTCTGTAAGGAAATAACATGCATGAAATAACTCATAACATGCGCATTAGTAGTACAAGAGGGTAAAAGAATCTACAAAAACACAAGCATACACTAAAATCAGGATGGACCTAGCTGATGAATTTGGATAAAATATTGGCAAAACTATATAGCTGATGAAGATGTACATGTAGCCCAATACATGCCAAAGACCAAGGAAAAAGAGAAATGGATATTGGGCTTGCCAGAAAACAGCGGAGTCTGCCAATCAGTGAAATCCCTTCCTGATTCTCTAATTATGCTGTTATTGTTCATCGTCAACTTGGAATATTTTTTAATTAAAACTCCAAATTTTAACCGTGTGGTAAAGTAACCATCTTTCAAGGAATAACAATATTAGCAGCAATACATGGTCAAGATTAGCAACAATATAATGTATGTTCCCATGTTGATACCATGAATCCTGGGAAAGGAAACTAAGGACGGCAATGGAGAAACAAAGGTTGGTGAAGTTTTGTTCTGGTTTGCATCATTTGTGCCTGAACACAGCAGTCCCATGACAAAAGGATGCGTCTTTATTTCGTGTTTCGGTTTCTTGTTTTGTCTCTCTTTACCTCGTCATCATATGTTGTTGTTTCACCATCATACGGAAAGAATGAAAAACAAGAATTCATGTCACTCGTATGTTCCTCTTATCATAGAAAGTATTCCTTCATACTTTTGTAATGATTCTATCCACTACGAAATTATTAAGAAAACCTTAAATTAAGGAACGAACATAGTTAATCAATAATTATTAAGAAAGTATTCCTTCATACTCGTATGTTCCTCTCCATTACAGCAATGACTTTTACCTCCTGGTTCATAGAAGTGGTTAAAACTTAAAACCCCATAGACAATGCAGGTTTTTTTATAGGGAAAAACGATAAAGAAACCGGCAATCGGCATAATTATAATTTTACTGCTTTGTTTTCAACTTATGGAAAGACCGAGGATAACAAGAAAAAGGATGCAGGGGGGTACGACTTATGGGACAGACTGATGCACAGTTTCATCAAATCGTCACCTTTCTCTTCTACCTCTTAACGGCCCTCTCGGTTATCTTGGAGCGCTTCCACATTAAACTGGAAGCCCCTTTCTTCTTCATTTCTGAAATCTGGGTTGTTTTTCTAAAACTTTTTCATATGGCTCCTACTCCAAGGAAATCAATGAATGTGGGTGAAACGGTCTCATATTGGTTGCTGCCTGTTGCTGCCATTGATGATGAAGGTTCACTGCCTGAAATTTGAGTTGTTGGTGCTGAGGTACCCTGGTGGTGGAGGGGATAGAAACCATAGCATTGGGGTTCATCTATGGGCCTGTCCCAAGATCTGGTCTGGTTGAACATACCCATCATGTCATTGCTCTTGAGACTTGCTGCAAATGTAGTTCAACGCACCAGTTACAATGTAGAGAAACAATGACAAAACGTGATTGTAATGTTAAAAAGGGGCATGTAAAGGAGAAAGGTGAAGGAAAACGGTTACATCAGTCAATGTCTGTAAAGTAAAAGAACAATTTAAAATACAAAAATCATCAACGAGTTGTAGTAAGGAAATCGAGGTAGGTTTCCAAAAGGAAACCAATGAGAAACAACACAAATACCCAAATACCACATATAACTGTGCATAGTATAACAAAGGAAGCTAGGAAGCAAAACACACAGAGAGACCCACCAGGGAAGATATCAAAAGGTGCTTGTTGTGGAGGAAAGCCATAGCGAGGGACCTCGCTGCTTGGGATTGCTTCTCGCCCACTGGTCATGTGGGGTGAAACATCACCATTGAAGGTTCCAAACTGGTATTGGGAGATGGTTCCAAGTCTTCTATTGGGAATGTTGAGACAGTATGGGGCTGGTGGTGGTTCAACTTCTGTGGCTGCATCTCTGCAGACAAAGTTTGGAGTTTCTTCAATCCTCTTGTAAACAGATTGGCTCAGCTTCCTCCTCCTGTAGGCACTCGATTGTTCTCTATACTTCCTAGCCATAATCACATGCCAATGGTTCTTCACTGCATTATCAGTTCTTCCAGAATAGCCTAGCTATCATTGCCCACTTGTTACCATATAGTCTATGAGCTTGCATTAGCCTCTCCTCTTCTTCTTCAGTAAACGCTCTTCTGTTGATCCTAGGGTCCAATTGATTAAACCATCTGAGCCTGCAGCTCTTACCTTCAACCACAATGAAACAAAAAATTCCGATGAGTATTTAATGAAGTAAAGAATACCTTTTTTGGTCACTATCTTACCTGATCTTCCTTCCAACTTCTCAGCTATAAGGTTCCAGTTCTGAGGGCCATAAAGAGCTACGAGTTCCTTGAGCTTAGTATCTTCTGCAGGCCTCCAGTGGCCTCTGGCGCAAAGCTTTGAATGTCCACTATCTGTTTCCTTGCCACTTACAGCATTCTCATTGGGGTTCTCTTCATTTAAGTTGGTGTTCAGATTAATAATGGTCTTACTGTTCTCACCAAACGCATCACTGCAATCAGAACCTTGACCTTCCACGACATCAGAGCTATGGTGTTCCGCAAAGCTCCTTGCTTTACAGTCCCCCATGAAACTAAAATCCCAAGGAGCTCTTTGAACACCGTATTTTGGACCGAGAGAAAGCGAATCCATTTCCGGATAACCCATCCCCATTGAAGAACCAGAAGAAGAAGGAATAGTGGAAGAGCAACAGCTTAGTCCATTATTCATGTTGTCTTGTGGTGGTTCATATATAACAGCACACTTGTTAACCATGCCTTCATTTCCTCTCCCTGACAAATGCTGTTATAGAACTGTTACAAAGTCATACACATGCATCAGATAAATTTCAAAAAAACAAAGGAGAGAGAAGACCGAGAGCCAAGTTTGACAAACAG